GGTCTCCATGGGTGCAGTCTCCATGGGGGTCTCCATGGGTGCAGTCTCCATGGGGGGGTCTCCAGGGCTGTGGTCACCGTGGGACAGTCACCGTGGGGCCGTCCCGCACATCCGCGACGGCCGCGTCCGGGAAGACGGAGGGGCGAGACACTCCTGCCGGGCGCGGGATGGTGGCTGAGCAGTACGCGCTGCAGCCACGTGAGGGCGCGCAGGCGGGGGCTGCTCCCGGGGTGGGGACGGAGGGGCCCTTGCGCGGGCGGGAAAGCGCCGGCCCTTGGGCTTTGTCCAGCCGCTGCGGCCACTCCTCGCGCCTGACCGTGGGGCCCACGCCCCGGCGACGGGACGCGTCCCTGCCTGGCGCCCTGCGGTCTCCCGCGCCGCGAAGCTCAGCTTCACACGAGCTCCACCGTGGCCGGGCGGGCCGGGCGGGCCGGGCGGGCCGGAGTTGGGGCGGCAGCGGGTCTCCGGGCCTCAGACTCCTGGCGGGTCTCGAGGGCCGCAGCCCGGGTTCACACCACTGCGCTGCCCAGGGGAGGAAAGGGTACAGCGGCGAGTACTTGCAGTGGTTTCATGCCTTAGGCGAGAGAGAGAGGCTTTATCGGAAACGACGCTGTAGTACTTGCTTTTGAAGCAAACTGATGCAGTTTCTGCGCTGTCCCGACCGGCAGGTGGGCATCCTTCATTCGCTTATCCCGTGTGTGCCAGGCACTGGGGCCCCAGTGGTGGCCGACACAGGGCGCTCACGTCCTTTAGGAGCTGGTTCCTCCGGAGAGTGGCCAAGAGACAAGTAGGTAGGGCGCTGGGTTGGGGGCAGTTCTAGCGGAGGAGAGTGCCTGGTGTGAGGCCCGCAGAGTTCCACAAAGAGGGAGAGTGCAGTCCTGGGGGTCCGCGCCAAGGATGGTGGGAAATCACCAGAGCTTTTAAGCTGAGAGTCACGGTTGGGGTTGGGTCTGCTTCAGAAGTGTCACGCTGGCTTCTGTGTGTGGAGTGTCCAGGTGATCACGAGATGTGGGTAATAGCCCCTCAGCCTCAATTTCATGACCTTTGCAATTAGGATTGACCTGGGCCCAGCTTGAGGGGCTGATCTTTTTCTCAACTCAAGCCAGCTCAGACTTTGTCAAGTTCTCTTTAACTCCAGCATAGCAAAAGCCTTTTTCTCTGTGACCTTATTGCATGTTCATTCCAGGTGCAGGATTGTTTAAGTTTCTTCTTATCTGCTTCCAAGTGTGTTTAGTGTTTGTGATGCAAACAACGCAGTTGTCTTGAAGTTTATTAACCACTTCGGTACGAGCGTCGACTATAGTCAGTAGCCATAGATGAACGCACACATCGACTTTAGCTAACAGCCGTGATATGACTTTTCTGATTTTTCATTTATCAAAATAAAATTGTGAACATTTACAAATAACATAATAAAACATGTATGTATATGTTACCTATTCAGATTTACATTACAAGTAAAGCTTTCCTGTAAAGTAAAACAAGCTTTCAGTGCTTTAAAGCTTTCCTCATCACACAAGAGCAAGACGGATTTGTCGTCAATGTGCAGCACGAACTATCAAACTATCGTGGGGACTATGAGTGCCGGCTGTGGGCAAGGTTTTTCAGCCGGTCAGCATGGTCCTGAAGTGGTTAATAAAGGAGTCCAATAGTATGGGGAACTTTTGGCCTAGATTGAGCTCTGAGTACAACTGGGCAGTGAATACTTTTCACCAGATAGAATGGGCGTCTGCTAGGAGAATTTGTGGTGTAGAAATCTTATCAGTGGCTCAGGGGTGTGTTTGCATTATGAGAGCGGGTACATAGGGAAAGCAGCCCTGAGGTTTTCCTGTGGCTGCCCTGATTCTTTTGCTCTGGTCCTCTGAATGGTGCAGGGGTGGGTGAGGTGAGTGGAGTGGACTGTGACAGTTTGGGGATTAAACCAGAAGTGCCATCGGTGTGTCATCCAAACAGCACCTCTGCAGTTGGAGGCTGCACTTGTTTGCTTCCCCGTGTAATCACCCAGTCCTGGAGAGGGGGACGGTGGTTTCTCTCACTGGGGACACCTTGAAGTGGGAGGAATGGTGTCATGCCATGTTGGTGTTGAGTGCCCTAGTGTGTGGGTGTCTGCATTCTCCTTGTCCTTGGAGAGAGGCGTTACTTACAGCAGTGACTCTTCCTACAGAGTATTTGCTTAGTATGAGATTTTTACTGTTTGTCATACTTCAAGGAATGCAAGCACAGTACTAATGTTGAAAACATTTTGTCTCCTTTGCAAGGATACTGTGTGAATTTAATGAATACATCACACTAATCCAGAACCAACACTTTTTAATGTCTTTTTATGTATTTTGGTTGAGGGAAGCCTTTAGGAACCCATGGTGCATTGAAGATCTTTAGAAAAGCGAGATTCATGAAATTAAAAGAAACCTTGATAGGGTGTTTGGACCCACTTTGTGTTGGGGTTGAGATTAGACTCAATCCAAAATCCTAGCTCTCTGGGAGGCCGAGGCAGGCGGATTGCTTGAGGTCAGAGTTCGAAACCAGCCTGAGCAAGCGCGAGACCCCATCTCTACTATAAATAGAAAGAAATTAATTGGCCAACTAATATAGATAGAAAAAATTAGCTGGGCATGGTGGTGCATGCCTTTAGTCCCAGCTACTCAGGAGGCTGAGGCAGAAGGATCACTTGAGCCCAGAGTTTGAGGTTGCTGTGAGCTAGGCTGACACCAGGGCACTCACTCTAGCCTGGGCAACGAAGTGAGACTCTGTCTCAAAAAAAAAAAAAATAGACTCAATCCAAGAGCATCTGGGGAAAGATGATCCCTGAAAGGACCGCAGTCTGCTGCCCTCCACAGAGGAGTCCCGAGGACCCCAGTGGTGGCTACCTCTGGGTCTGGTCTTACCAACTGCTCCTTACAGTTGGACTTGATTTGGAGGGGGGATCTGTAGTCCTGTCCCCCTCACCCTGAGAAACATGGCTTTCTAAGTAAATTGTGCAGAATGCTACAGTAAACACATGGTTCATATTTTTGATATATACTACCACTCTTCACCACTTTATAGTCTATTGAAATGGGTGACAAGGACTTTTTTGCCTTAATGAACATCCACCTTTTTTTCTCCCCTGAAATTGACAGCATAAGTGTTCTCTGTGCCTCTGTCCGTGTGCACAGTGAGTGCAATGTGCCTTTCAGGGGCCTGTTCCACTTAGGGGCATGGCAGGATACAGCCTGGGGCCTGTTGTGCGATGGGTACATAGTGAGTAATATACTTACTTGCTACCTTAGTTTTTATTTTTTGAGACAGGGTCTCAGTGTGTTAACCCAGGCTGGAGTGCAGTGGCGTGATCATGGCTCACTACAGCCTCAGACTCCTGGGCTCAAGTGATCCTCCTGCCTCAGTCTCCCGAGTAGCTGGGACTACATGCCTGGCTAATTTTTCTTTGTTTTGTAGAGACAGAGTCTCTTGCTTGGGCTGGTCTCGAGCTTCTGGTCTCAAGCAGTCCTCTGTTTCAGCCTCCCAAAGTGCTAGGATTATGGGCGTAAGCCACTGTGCCTGCTTGCTGCCTTGATTTTAAAAAGCATCTCTCTTCACACATGATAGTGTGTCCTTTTGTGCTTAATGAATTTATGGATTCACTGGAAACTTGAGGAAAGTGCTCCAGGGGTCATAGTGGGTTAGTGTAGCCTGACAGTAAACACTGGTTGCTTGTTTTCTTTACATTTCTGAAGTAAATGAGACTGGAAGTTCTTTAATTGACAAATAGTAATAGAAGCTAAATGGAAGCCTCACAGCCGTAGGACCTCAAAAGTCAGGGTGTTCATATTCAGCATTAGACTTCAGAGATATAAGAGCAGTTTTCCTTATCTCTGGCTCTCTAGCCCATGGCTTTCTGTGTCCCTTGATGAGATAAGCGATAAAGTGACTGGTGGCTTAAAGAAACAAAACACTGCCTGTCTTCTGAGCAGGAACACATGGTTAGTGTCTTTCCTTCCTACTATGCAAGATGATGTGTTTTTGAAAGAGAGGACAGAATGCCTTTTTCCCAGCCTCGAAGTTATTTTCCTGAGGACTGTTTGACATTGATGATTCCCCCATATCGAGACCCCACCCTGTTCTTGGCATGCTGGGTGTGCACTGGGCGGTTTCCTCTGCCTCTTCCTCCCGTGCCTGTCCTTTGACTCAGACTGGCCCATAGTTCATAGGCCTGCGGGTAGACAGAGTTTATGGTGTGTTGGAACTCAGTTCTTTCAGTTTACACAGACTAGTTATCTGAAAGCTTTAGAGATAAAATTCCCCGTGAGTGAGTTCCCATACCACATCATCCCTGCCTCTTGTGTCCACTGTGAGACCGAGGAGGAAGGACATCCTTTCCTGTAGATGACTTTCCAAAAGGACTGGAGGAGGGTGTGAGAGGCAGCCCCTGCACCTCCCTTCCTGGCTTTAGGTAGGAGGATCTCAGAGCTGCACGGAAGGTGGGGGTGCTCTCAGCGTTCGCTCCATTGGTATGGCACTCCCAGATCTGCTTATTTCTCAGTTTCTGACAAAATCGTTTGTATTTTATTTGTTCAAAATGTTATGTAAATTATAATTGTATTGCTTGTTGTTATTTTGACCAAACCATTTGAAAGTAGGTTACTGATGTGGTCTCTTACCGATAAATTCTTCAGGGTGTATCTCCCGAGAATGAGAACATTCTACATAACTGGAATAGATGGAGTCATCAAAATCTGGACATTTGACATTGATACGATACTTGAATACGCGGTTTGATGTACAGTATATATACAGATTTTACCAGTTATCCCAACAACTTGTTCTGTTCCTCCCACCCCCTGAAATCTAGGACCACTGGTTGCATTTAATTATTATGTTTCTTTCATCTCCATTAGTCTAGAGTAGTTTCTCCATCTGACTTTGTTTTAAGAAAGCCAGTTTGTGGAAGGACCCACAGTTGGTCTTGTTTGAGTTTCCTCTGATTTGATTCAGGTGCACTTTGGCAGGAGAGCTGCACAGTGCTGGTGCCCTTGGTGGCCGGCCCCGCTCCCGTGCTGTCACTCCCGTGCTGTCACTTTGTCCCATTATCATGTTGTTCAGAGGTCATTAGGACAACTTTGATCACTTGGAAGGTGCCATTTTCTCTCCCAAGTAGTGTTAACCTGTGGGGAGGGGCTTTGAGACTGTCACCACACAAACAATGCAGTGGTCTCATCCTCAGGGAGTTCTGGCCTGTGTCAGTGTTGACTGTGAGGGTGGTGAAACAGAGACTTCTGAACTCATCATTTCTTCTACTTTATTTTTTATTTTATTTTATTGTGTTTTTTTTTTTAAAGAAACAGTATCTTGCTTTGTTCCCCAGGCTGGAGTACAGAGACACGATCAAAGCTCACTGCAGTCTCGAATTCCTGGGCTCCAGTGATCCTTCCACCTCAGCCTCCTCAGTAGCTGGGACTACAAGCATGCGCCACCACACCTGGCTAATTTTTAAAAATATTTTTGGTAGAGACGGGATCTCACTGTGTAGCCCAGGCTGGTCTCCAACTCCTAGGCTCAAGTGATCCTTCTGCCTTGGCCTCCCAAATGCTGAGATTATAGGTGGGAGCCAGAGTGCCCAGAAATGTCTTCTATTTCTACTTGGCCTTCTCTTTATCTGCTTTATGTCAGTGTGAAATCATAGGCTATTTTATTCAAGAGGTTGGAGTCTATTTATTTATTTATGTTTGCTGTGTTGCTCAGGTTGGGCTGGTCTCAAACTCGTGCCCTTAAGCAATCCTGCCTGACTCTCCCAAAGTGCTAGGATTATAGGCATGAGCCACCACACCCTGCCTGGCGTTAATTTATTTTGATGTTTAAATAGTCCCAGATTTGGCCATGGAGACCCCTTCCAGGCTGGGTTCTAGGTTGTCTTGCCATTTACTCATAAATCTGTGTGGCTCTTGGGCACAGCAGGCAGTCTGCAGCTCATCTTGTTCCTTGTCCTGGTTCTAGAATCAGCCATTTCTCCAAGGTGCCCTGGTTCCTTTTAGTGCTGACCAACCAAGACCTGGGCACGGGGCGTCTGTGCCACTGGGTGCCGCCCTTTCAGTGGGCAGAGCCAGGAATCGGGTTTTTATATCCGTGGTTCATAACAGTGCCTGGTCACACCCACCACAGGGGTCTTTGCCCTCTGCCGGCACTTGCGACTCCTTCCTCCCACAGTGCAAGTCATCAGTGATGCTCCCGTCACCACGCTAGAACCCGCCTCTCCTCTGTGCTGTGAGAAACTGAGCCATTTCCGTGCCTGTCAGTTTTCTGTACCTTCCTGGGGCTGAATAAAATTTGTTGTTTTGAGTACTTAAAATGGGTTAAAACAAACTTGAACACAAACTGAATAGCACACTCCTAGACCTGGAGAAGAGTACTACTTAGTAATAATTGCTGTAGAATAATATGTGACACAATGTGCTTTCTTTTCAAATAAAATGGGGTTTTATTTAGAAAAAGGAGTATAGAAGAACTAGATTATTATATAGGAGGACCGACCCCAGCTATTTCAAAGTGCCAGTTTACTCTGTGGATTGCCCGTTAGTAAGCATGAGTACAATTGTAACTTACGGCTACAGCTCTTTTCCCTACATTGTGGAAATCTTCACACATACAGCAAAGGGGAATTAATTTTGTGGTGCACAAACATACACCCTCCCACTGAGGCTTCATCACCGCGCCTTACTATGTTTTATGTCCAGGTGCCCCCAGCCTGCTGTGTGTGCGCGAGTTGGTCACAGCATCCGTGCATTCGCCCACATTGCCTGCCTGTCAGTGACCAGAGTTCAGTGACTGTCTTGTCTTTTAAGATAAATTTTTTCCTACAGTGACATACAAGAAACTTGTATGTTCAGTGAGTTACAACTGTGTAACTCAGATGCCTCTCTAGACCCAGAAGTGACTCTTAATCCAGAAGGTTCAGGCCCCGCCCCTCCTCCGTTGTTGCCCCCCTCATAGACGAGTTGCCCCTGTTCTGCAGCTGCGTCGCATGCAAGTGTACAGTCTGCTCAGACAGTCCACACGGTGGTTTTGGATCCATCTGTGTTTTACATAGACCGGTCCATTTCTTTTTATGGCTGAATCGCGTTCGTGGTCACGTGACCACAGGGCTCACTTCCTGTATAGGGAAGACATACAAAACAGCCTTTTGTGTTTGAAATTTCACTTGTCCCAGAAAATCCCTTGCAGGTAGGATCTGTGTGTTTACTGTTTGTTCTTGGCTCCCTGCTTGAGTTGTATGAATGTTCCAGTCTGTCTGTTCATCCTTCTACAGAGGGTCATCGGGGCTATTGTCAGCTTGGGGCTGTTACAGATACAGTTGCGGTGTACATTCCTCCGCCAGTCTTTCTGTGGACGCAGGCTCTAATGTCTCTCGGATGGAATACCTGAGAGTGGATTGCTGAGCTATTGGGTGGGTGCACGTTTGTTTTATGAACGACCACCAGACCTTTTTGCAAATGGTTGAACCGTTTTCTCTCCCACCAATGCTGTGTGAGGGTTCCTGTTGCTATACATCCCTCTCAGCATTTGCTATTGTCATTCTCTTTAATTTTAGCCATCCTTGTGGGTGTGCAGTTGTAGCTCATGGGAGTTTGTTTTTTTTGTGTGTGTTTTTTTTAAGACAGAGCCTCACTTTGTTGCCCAGGCTAGAGTGAGTGCTGTGGCATCAGCCTAGCTCACAGCAACCTCAAACTCCTGGGCTCAAGCGATCCTGCTGTCTCAGCGTCCTGAGTCGCTGGGACTACAGGCATGCGCCACCATGCCCGGCTAATTTTTTGTATATATATTTTTAGTTGGTCAATTAATTTCTTTCTATTTTTAGTAGAGACGGGATCTCCCTCAGGCTGGTTTTGAACTCCTGACCTCGAGCAATCCGCCTGCCTCGGCCTCCCAGAGTGCTCATGGGAGTTTTAATTTGCATTTCTCTGGTGACTCGTGGAGCACAGAGCTCTTTTCAAAGTGTGTGTTTGAAGGGGTGTGGGAGTAAGCAGTGGGCAGCTGCTGAGTCGCATGTTGGAGGTCTTTTATTCATACGGTGGTAGCTCTTTGCTGCTGAGCACCTTGAGTCCAGAGCTGTTAGCTGCTTGGAGTTTCACCCCTTCTCATAGCAGCTATACTGTGTGTAGCTGGCAGAGTCCCGTGTGTTCTGCGTGATTGGAATAGGCCAACCGGGCAGTGCTGCTCCCTTGGAGATGGGGAGCACAGCCCTGTCTAGCAGAGGCTGGCCAGGGCGCTGAGACCTGCCTTGTCACGTGAGACCTGTAGGTAAGTCTGAAAACATGGGTGTGCTTCTCGGCAGTGTTGCCGGTGTTGCTGTGGCCTTGGAGGGAGGCTCCTGGTTTCCCAAAAGGTGTCTGCCGATGAGCAGAAAGACTCAGTGGGTCAGTGCTTCGAGATTACGAGGCCATATGACTCACCTCCTCTACAGGAGAGACACGTAAAACACAGCCTTTTGTGTTTGGAATCTCTTCCTTCCCGAAAGATCCCTTGCAGATAAGAGCTGTGTGTTTGCTATTCTCTTGCAGCAGGGTTCCAGAATGTTTTTTCCAACTGTCTTGAAGAAGGGTTGTTAGCAGGAGCCTCTTGAGGGCATGTTCATCTTGGTAGTTCCAGTCAGAGATTCTCAGTGCCCCTCACTAGTCCCTCGTTGCCCTGGGAGCTAATATTGGCATTGCCTGATTTCTCCGTGATTGATTTGTCTCTGTCTCTCCCCTGCAGCCTGTTCTCAGAACACAAACAGAACCTGTGAAGAGTGCCTGAAGAACGTCTCCGTAAGTAGCATGCAGATTAGAGTGCGATCCCAAAGCAGACTGCCTTTTTCTAAATCCACAGTCACTTGTGTGTGCCTTTTAGGATTTGTGGAGCTATTTTTTGTGACAGTTATTAAATATTATTTTAGCCTTTCTCAGGCATATTAAACCATCTCATGAAAACTGCATATACCGTCTGAGCACGACCAGTGTCCATGACTTCACTCCCATAGCAGGCGGTGGGCGTAGAAACGTGTGGGTGGGGCCAGGCGTGCAGGCGTGTGAGCTGGATGGGAGGTGTCAGGTTGGCTGAGCATTAGGTGACCAGGTCAGAGACCTGCTTAGCCTCTAATCTACGACCGTTAACCTGTCCTAGGCCTTTCCTGTGGGGTCATTAGACCATAGAGGCCTGTTGGGGGCAGGGCTGTGACCTCATCTGTGTGATGGGCCCCCAAGACATGGCAGCAAGTGCTCTGGGAGCAGAGTCAGGGCTTGAGTCCACACTTGTAAAGTGGCTAAGTCCTCCTTACCCACTCCCTGCTCGGAGCTGTGAGGACAGCTTTCCTAATAGACCCCTTTTCAGGAGAAACTGGGTTGTCTGTAAACCTCAGATCTACCTCGCTTGTCAAGGGCTGCGACAGATGCTTCTCTCTCAACTCTGTACATGGGATCGGAGTGGGGCCATCTGGTCCAGTGGGTCAGACTCTGTCCATAGCATCTCAAGTCACACCATAAGACTCAGCCCAGTGTGGTTGATTTTGTGCCTAGTTCTTCTAAATGCCTGAGTAACCTTGAGCGAGAGTGTAGCCATTCCAGAGCAAGGTTCTCTAGTCTTCCACGTTACGAGGTGGGGCCAGAGCCTCCCAGGGTTACTTCCAGGTGGTCATCCTGGGCTCTCATGGAAATGTTCAGCTGTCTCTCCGGGAGAGGTGGAAGCAGCGGTGGGGAAATAGTGCAGCCGTGTGGATCTTGCTAAAGGTGTGTGAATGCGCTGCTTTGTCGGGGCTCTTTTGGCTTTCTCAGCGCGGTGTCCTGCGCCTGTGGCCGGCCCCAGCTGACTCCTCCTGAGCGCTGCCTTGCTGCGGAGCTCTTGATTTGGTAGCACCTACACTCGGTGTCTCTGATCCTGTTTAATCGCAGCACTATGTCCCCAGCATGGGAAAACCTGAGAGGAGGCCAGCAGTGGGTAGCAGTGGTTGGGGCAAAAGCCAGCGTTCTGTGGGGTCTTTGTGCCTTGGGGTCCCAGGGAGGCTGCCACCCTTGCCTCTTCCAGCCAGGTTTTACAGGACACCAAGAACCGCAGCACCTGTGTTTCTCTTTCCCTGTCAGCGAGGTTTGGTGACAGGTCAGGAAAGACATGTTAGATGATTTCCACTCTAAGGCATTAACTATGTTTTTAAAAAACAGTTCCCACCCTATGTGGCAGAAGTGTGGGTTTGAGGCATATCTTGTCAGTTTGTGGGATTTAAGTGAATACTTGGATTTGTTGATTAAGAACTGAAAGATGTGGTGACTATAGTTTTCAGATCTTGTCATCGATAACGTTGAACGTGCTCAAGTGGGTCTGGTCCTCATGGGTGGTATTATCTTGATGGTGCTTCTGTTTGGTCTCTGGATTTTTCTACTGAGAGTCATTTCAGCCATAAAAATAGCTTACTATCGCACGTGGCTTTGCGGCCTGGAGAGCATTTTTGCTGCATTGTCCTGTGGAAGCCTCACCACCCTCGGTTGGGTGTGTTGATGACAGCAGCCTCAGTGAGGTGGCTAGGGGACTTGCCCAGGTCACAGTGGAGGGTCCAGTCCACAATAGCCCCAGGCCTGGACTTCACCTGAAGACCTCACCCCTGCTCTGAACCCAGGTAGAGCAAGTTGGAAAGGGGTGCAGCAGAGGGACGCTCAGCAAACGTGCGGCGAGCTCCAGTCTCACATGGGCGTGTCCTTGAGCACACACACGGGGTTTCTAGAAGAATGTCGGAGTGCCTAGGAGGCCTCGGGATGGAAGAAGAGAAGCTGCGGCAGACTGTCCCCTTGGTGCTGCCTGAGTTGTTTGTTGCCTGCATGCTACTTCATCGATTAAAAACACAACCAAACTTCACCACCATGACCAGAAACAGCACTGTGTCCTCCCAGTGAGCTCCTAGGGCTTGTAGTAAAACTGTCCTATCAAAATGGATGTTTTGAGGCCAGGAGCTTGAGGCCAGCCTGGGCAATTTAGCAAGATCCCATGTTCTTTAAAAATAAATTAATTAATTAATTAAAAAAATTTAAAATATTATATTCTAAGCCAGGCGTCTTCAAACTACGGCCCGTGGGCCACATGTGGCCTGCTGAGGACATTTATCCAGCCCGCCGGGTGTTTTTGCCGCCACTGCCTGTCCTGCTTAGCAGCCTGGGCCCACAGTGTGCATGTGTGGAATGTGTGCCACACTCTCCAATGGCCCTCTAGCGGTTTGAGGGACAGTGAACTGGCCCCCTGTTTAAAAAGTTTGAGGACCCCTGTAATCTAAGCTGTTTAAATAATGCATTAAAGTGATCACTGTATAAATAGCCCTGGGAAAGAAAGCCCAGGTTACATTTTAATAAAAATTTGTAGTAGACTTTTGACTTTACTAGGGACAAAAAAAATTATGATTTTGTATCCTATTTAAAAAGACAGTAGTAACACTAATAATAAGATTTAAAAAACAGACAAAGTCTCGACATTGGCTGGCATGTTGATTGCACTGAAAGTGCAGTTCTTTTGCCCTCTCCTATGTGTTGTCTGCCGAGGATGTCCACCCAGGGCACCTAGGCTGTGTTTCTTGTCACCCAGGGTGCCTGGCTCACAAAGTGCTCCTGGGCCTCATTGTGCACTGCTACAGCCTGTGGCTGACCCCCCCCCGTTGCTGGTGCTGTCTCTGTGCTGCTCCAGCCTCACCCCTAACCTTTGAAGGGCTCAGACGAGAGCCTCTGTGAGGTTCTCTCCTGCTCTTGAGTTCTGGGCAGATGCCTTTAAGCCTTAATTGCATTATCTTTCAAATGGCGGCAACCTAGTGCAGTTGTAAAGATCAGAAGTGGAACGCATGGTACCTTTCTACGTATAGTGATCACTATGGTTGCCAAAGCCCATTCAGCAGACACTAAATGAGCCTATTGTGGGCCAGCCTGTCCTGTGTTCTTGGGTTGCCCCAGTGCAGCGCACGGGTGCACAGTGTGTTGGGAGGTGCCACAGTGAAACAGGCGGTACCGAGGGAAGGGATCGGGGAGACGGGCGCAGTGTGACGTGGGTTGGGTGGGGCAGGCCTGGTCGAGTAGGTGGGAGAACCGTGCAGGTGTCTGGGGAGGGGAGCAGTGTTCCCGGCAGAATGAGCAGTGTTCCCGGCAGAATGAGCAGTGCTCCCGGCAGAATGAACAGGCTGTACAGAGGCCGGAGCAACAGGGGTGCAGCTCTCAGGAGCAGCACGGAGGCCATGGCCGGGTGAGCTCTGGAAGAAGTCTGAGTAACACGGATAAGGCCGTCACAGCCACCCATGAGAGATGACCATGCCTGTCGGCAGTGGCAGCTGTGAAAGGTGGTCGGGGGGCCCTGGACGGTCTGGTTCTTTGGTGTTTATGCTGCGTTTCTAACGTTTACCTAATGCTGATCTCTTGCAGTGTCTGTGGTGCAACACTAACAAGGCATGTGTGGACTACCCAGTCACAAAAATCCTGCCTCCTGGTTCACTTTGCAAACTGAGTTCTGCACGCTGGGGTGTTTGTTGGGGTAAGTTGTTTTCATTTGCTTCTTGCAAAGTCAGTGCTATTTTGATAATTTTAGTATTTGTTCAGTTAACATAAGTTGCTGGAAAACATGCCAGTAGCTCTGTGACTTCCACTGAGACGGCTGGAAACCAGTGACAGTCTGGTGTCTGGGAAGGTGACTTTGGGCTCCTTGGAGAGTCTGGAGGACCACCTTCCAGGTCTTCGCCCTTGGCACTGAACTCTCGACGTGGGAGGTGGCTGGGAAAGGGGGAGTTTGATGGGAAAGGGGGAGTGTGAAGGCCGCTTTTTTAAACATCATGCACACTGTGTATTGTGCTCATGTGCCACCCTTGAAACCTGCTGTGGGTTCCCACAGGGTCTCCAGGTATCCAGCGTAAGAATCCCTGCTTGGCATGGACACAGCCCTATTGTTCTCTACTGGGTCTCTGTCTGCATAGAGTTGGTTTTACAGGTGTTCCTTTATTGGGTAAATGAGCCCTTTTGGGATTCAAACTGTTTTGTTTTCTTTCTTTTTTGAGACAAGGTCTTGCTCTGTTGCCCTGGCTAGAGTGCCATGGCATCATCTTAGCTCACTGCAACCTCAAACACCTGGGCCCAAGCATTCTTCTGCCTCAGCCTCCCAAGTAGCTGGGACTACAGGCATGCGCCACCATGCCAGCCAATTTTTCTATTTTTAGTAGAGACTAAAAGTAGGGGTCTCACTCTTGCTGAGGCTGGTCTTGAACTCCTGGCCTCAAGTGATGCTCTCGTCTTGGCCTCTAAAATGCTGGGATTACAGGCATGAGCCACCGTGCCTGGCCTCAAATTGTTTTTTAGTTTGCCTTTTAAATTAGTTTGGGGTGTTTTTTTCCCACCTATTATTGAATTCATCTTTAAGTAATTGAATTTATTAATCTTTTCCTTTATGGCTTTGGGTTTTGGGGTAACACATAGGCCATCTTCTTAAGCTCCACAGAGGATCCAATATTTTCTTAGAGCACTTTGAAGGTTCTTTCTGTGTGTTTGCATCTTAGATTCCTCTGCAGCTTACTCTTTATCTATCTTTTTTCTAATCGATTTCCATCTCAAAATCCATCGGCTCCATCTGGAAGAACTTGTTTCTGATGTCAAGACCCCAGGGAATTCAGAAGTTGTGTTGGGCTGGGGGGTGGCTGTGATTATGGGATGTCTGTGCAAGAGCGTGTGTGTGGGTTGTGTGTGTGCACATGTGTGCGCACACCCATCACATCTGCCCAGCTGGCTGTCCTCTGCCAGCCCCACACCAGAAAGGCCTCCTAGGGCCTCACCGTGGGCTGCTTCCGTCTTGACTGCTATCTTCTGTGGGACCTTTCCTGCACCAGGGAGTCCTTGACGTTTTCAGCACCTGTTGTTAAGGTGTGTTTAGATTGACACGAATCTGCTAACGAAGCACACCCCTGTTTAGTCTCCTTCTCTGCATAGACTGTGGTACATACACACAGACATATGCACATACATATATTCAGTGAACTTTTGCAACATATTCGGGTTATCCCCGCCCAGAGGACATTCCTACACTCTGAGCAGGTCCCATTTCTGTCAGGACCCCCATGGGTCACCACAGATCACATTGCCTGTTCTTGACCTTTATGGAAAGGAAACAATAGTCTTGTATCTGGACTTCAGTTCAGCACGTCTGAGACTCGTGCAAGTCATGTGTTGTTGTTTGTCTCACTGTTGTGCGGCATTCCAGAGTGGACTGTCTGTCCTGATGACGGACAGGAGTGGTTCCCACGCTGCCGTGGACGACACTCAGCGGGTGTTGGCACAGGTGCTCGCTTCTGCTGGGCTGGCCTTCGGAGCGGCACTGCAGCTCACAGCACATGTTCATGTTGAGGGTTAGTAGATCTGCCAAGCGTTTTCCTCTGAGCAATGTGGGACTCCAGTTGCTCCACATCCCTGCCAGCATGTGGGGTACTCAGTCATCTTAATTTTAGTCCCTCTGGTGGGTGTGTAGTGATATCTTAGTGGCTTTAATTTGCATTTTTCTGACTAATGATGTTGAGCACCTCTTCAAATAGTAGGCATTTTTGCTCATTCTCTTGTGAAATGAAATTCCCACCCTAGGTGACAGGGATGGCCAAATCCATGCCATCCCACCTGGCTAATTTTTATTTTTAGTAGAGATGGGGTCTCACTCTTGCTTAGGCTGGTCTCGAACTCCTGACCTCAAGTAATCCTCTGGGCTATTGTAATATTCTTGACTTTGATTCAAATAATAAAAATGGTATCTGGCTTAACCTCCATTTCTATGGGTTCCACTAAATTAAGAGTTTAGAATGTCTTAGGAGGGTCTGAATATGCTGCTTAGAGTTATTTTTCTTCTTTCTGATTTCTTTTAACTTTTCTCAGGCTTGAAACATCTTTTCAATATCCAGTGATAAAAACTGCCCTGTCGCTTCGGTTCATTGTAGTTAGTCCATAAATTGTATGTCACATATATGTGGCTGAAAGGAGACTCCGGGAGGGCCCTCCTGCCCAAGGTGGGACCGTGTTGTGGCTGCAGGGCTATGGCAGAACCCGGCGCCCCTGTGTTCTGAGATGACTCCGCAGACGAGGGAACAGGGCTGTAGCTGCAGCTTCCATACTAGGAGCAGGTCTAACCCAGCGTGCTTGGATTCCAGTGAACTTCGAGGCGCTGATCATCGCCATGTCAGTGGTGGGGGCGGCCATCCTCCTGGGCATCGCTGTCTGCTGCTGCTGCTGCTGCCGGAGGAAGCGGCGTCGGGAGCTGGACAAGAGTGACGAGAAGGAGATGAGAGAGCGGGAAGAGCGGCGGATGCGGCAGGAAGAAAGGTGAGCTCGCAGTCCTGCCTGGAAGAAGTTCATTTCCAGGGAATTCAGATCTGGAAGACCATGAAAATAAGTTTCATGAGTTTTGTGTTCAGTATCCATGGGAATTTCCAGGTGGTAGCAAAGAGAGTGAGAAGCGTGTGGTGGGAACTGGCCACGGACCCTGGTCACAGTTTCCTTGTCTGCCACTCCCGCTGGTGAAGGGAGGGTTGCAGCTGTGGTGACTGGCTGGCAAACGTGCGTGTTTGCTGTTTGTTACTACCGCTAAGGTGGAAGGGCCTTTGAAGGGTGTTAGTCTAGTCCCATGCATTTATGATGAGGCTCAGAGGGACAGCATTGGTCAGGACCAGCCTATGGCCGGGTTGGGTCTGGCACCACCCCGAGTGTGCTGGGGCCTGTGGCAGCCCTGGGAGGCAGGTGAGGCGGGTTTTGTCATCCACACCTGGCACACAGGCTGGCAGCTGGCGAGGGTAGAGGCTGTTTAGATCTTCCTTGTGGTCACTTGAGGTCACCTGCCACAAAATGAAAGCTAACAGTGTGTTTTCCTAGCCATCTTCAGAATCTGGCTTACCTTTTTTTTTTTTTTTTTTTTGAGACAGAGTCTCACTTTGTTGCCCAGGCTAGAGTGAGTGCTGTGGCATCAGCCTAGCTCACAGCAACCTCAATCTCCTGGGCTCAAGTGATCCTACTGCCTCAGCCTCCCGAGTAGCAGGGACTACAGGCATGCACCACTGTGCCCAGCTAATTTTTTTTGTATATATATTTTTAGTTGGTCAATTAATTTCTTTCTATTTTTAGTAGAGATAGGGTCTTGCTCAGGCTGGTTTCGAACTCCCAACCTTGAGCAATCCGCCCGCCTCAGCCTCCCAGAGTGCTAGGATTACAGGTGTGAGCCACCACGCCTGGCCTGGCTTACCATTTTTACTATCAGTACATTTTCTTTACATGAAAAAAACTTTTTAAAAATCATAGTATTTTGCTTGCCTGGATTCTTCCCCTTAAAAGAAAAAAAAAAAAATCATAGTATTGGATTTGAATTGCTTTTATTGAAAAGAATAGAATGATATATTGGAGCAGCTCTGAGGACTGGGTTTGCCGTCACCCTGCCTGTCCTGGCAGTGTGTGGCCCGATGGCTAAGCTTGTCCCCACCCTGTCTCCTCCTGGGAACTGAGGGAAGCCACCAGAAGAAACCCACAGCCTCTGCTGAAGGAGAGTAATGGGTGTGTCTTTTGAAGTTACATTTGTACTTAGTAGTTTGGTGCTAACAGTGTTTTCTTTCTTTTTTAGGAGAGCAGAGATGAAGTCAAGACATGATGAAATCAGAAAAAAATATGGTAAGAATCAATTTTGTTTCCTTTTCAGTTGGTTAAGAATTGATGCCAAACCGTCCTGGTCCCTGTTACTACCAGGTGGGATCCAGCTGTGGATGTGGGCCTTGGTTTCTCTTCTGTGGGTTCACTCGTTGGAACAGAAAGACGTCTCATTCCAGGTGGTGCTGTAGTTAACTCATCCCACAAACGTCTCAAAGCGTTTGTATCTCAGCCAGACTGCTTCGTGACGTGTGCTTTCTTGGATACTTGTTTGCTTATGAAGTATTAAAGCTTCCAGAATGGGCTGTCTGTGGCTGCTTTGTCATCTCACTTGAGCCTTAACGCAGGTGTGCCCGTGTGACTGGTGCTCGGGTTCCTGTCCTCGTCTCAAGTGCAGCCCTTCATCCTCGGGGTGTGCTGCTGTTGTTCCCATCTTCTGAATGTCCCAGACAACATTTCCTTTTTCAGAGAATTCACCAAAACTGAGGCCATGCTTCCTCTCACCGTGTCTCCTAGAGATTTTGTTTGTGTTTGGTTTTGTTTGAAGAGATTTTGGGGGGAGACTTTGAAGTAGCCAGAATGAACATGTGTGTCAAGCGTAAACGTTTTGTTTAATTGGAGTAAATTGGAAATACACATTCAATTGCCTGTACCCCCCTAGATTACATGATACTAAAAGTATCATGGTGGTGGACGTGAGGCTGTGGCTGTCAGCGCGTGGCAGCCAGCCACACGGCCTCAGAAGGTCCTCAGGCCTGAGCCCACCGTGCTTTCCCTGAAGCACCGTGTTAAAGGCTGAATCTAATCAGGAAAGGTTCAGAATCTGTTTCTGACTAATGCATGGTTTTTTGGGAGTCTCCTCTTTGAATAAGGAAATATCGTATTTTACTAAAATAGTGGTATTTTCGGCTCCTGCCCACTGGGGACATTATGTCACTGTACTTTTTTCTGTCATCTGGGGGGGATGTTACAGCAGAGCCCAGGAGCGGCAGTCGGCAGCGCCTCCTGCAGACAGGGATGTGCACGTGGGCTACCTCTGCCCCTGGCTGGTGTGTCCCTCTCCCATCTGCTTGGGCCTCCTTGGATAGCCTCGTTCATATGCTATGACCAGAGGCCGGGCCTCAGGCCGTGGTCGCCCCTGCCGGCCTCCAGGCAGGCTCGGGCTGGAGGCTGTCCCTGCTGCTCCTGTCTTTGAGGTGCAGCATCCAGCAGCTGTGTAGCCTCTTCCTCACGTGCCCCTCCGTCTCCTCCGAGTGCTGCGTGTGCCTGGGCGGTGCTCATGCCAAGCTGCTGCCCTTGCGCCCCCTCTGCTACTCACTCTCCATTGTCCTTGGGTGTCCTTCCCAGTGCTGCCCCAGGTCTTGTCCCTGCCGTGCCACCTCCACTTCCCGTGTCCCGAGTGTGTGTGCGGGTGCAGCGTGGGCTGCACTGGGCTCTCCACACTCGCCAAGTGCGCGCTTGTGCCTGTGGACGGTCGGCGCGTTGACGTCTTTGCCGGCTCTAGGATGGAGGCAGCTTGGTTTGCACAAAAAGAGTCAAAAGGAGCTTTTTGGCCTCTGATTAATGTTAATGTAAATAAAAAGCAGAGGCACAGGCAGTGTTTAAAGTCCCCTGGGGGCGGGAGGCTGTCGGTGGAGCTGGCATCTTCTGTGTCACTGAGTGTGTTCCTGCTGTTTTGGTGGTTAGCTTGCCCTTTAATTGCACTGATGAAATAACCCTTTTGTGCCGGCTTATGACAAATCACATCAAATGGCCTGCACTCTGCAGGGCCTCAGCGAGGTGGGGGAGTTCCCAGGAGGAGGGGAGAGGGCCGCGGCTGCGCTGGCTCGGCTAACGCTTCAGGACCAGCGTGCGCGTGGAACCCTTCTTCTGATTTGGGTTTTCCTGCTAAACTAGAAACAGACCTAGGAGAGCTGTGTTTCCAGTAAGACCTGAAGGCCACTGCTTGCATTTGGCGTTTGGTGTCTGGTAGCTGGCCGCTGACACCGACTAGGGCTCCTGCCCCAGAGCCTGGCGAGGGCGGTCTCCCCCTTTGACAATGAGCCTGGTCTCCCTTAGCGCCGCCTGCGGCTTCTCTGCTCTGTCCCACATTTCTTCCCGGCCACCTTCCCCACTGGCCCCTGCCCAAAATTGCAATAAATAGATTTGTTGCATTGTTCCAGATAATTTTGGTAAACAATACAGATTTTTACAGAGAGAGTGTGTGTGCGTGTGCGTGTACATGTGTGTTTCTGCAACGGGAAGAGAAAACTAGCCCGTGGGTTGTTAGCACCACACATTTATTTTAATGGTAAAATACATATTATATTCCAGTTATGTTCCAACACTTGAGCGTTAAATTGACGGTCCGTAGCCTTAATTCTTTATGTAGCCTTAATTCTAAGTTCACCAGCAATTGCAAGGACATTCAGAGTAAGGTAGTTTTGTTTTGTGTAAAGAAACACACGCCTTAAATTTCTTTATTTCTACTTATGAGCATCAGCAAATAAGTCTTTATTCCTCAGGATGTTTTAGAATTTTTGTTTCCAGTCAATTTTATTTCAGTTTTAAAGTCAACTGTGGTTTGACTTCAGAAAAAGTAAAGAATAGTATTTGAGCCTTCTAAGAACACCTGTTCTGTCATAACCTTAACCTTAATCTTCGCATAAGACTTAGTTAACTTATGTGGCTTTTTTGAATTTTGTTGCTGGTTTGAATGATTGAATTTATAATTCAAGTTCATTTTATTTCCAGGCTTGTTTAAAGAAGAAAACCCTTACGCTAGATTCGAAAACAACTGAAACGCTGTGACTCTCCAGGCAAGCCAAAGCATCCTGTGCGTGCCCCTCCGCACGCCCCGGCAGGGGAGACGCCCGCCCTCGTCTTGTTCCTGACCTTGGCCGAGTGCCCCTGCCACCCTCCAGGACAGGCACTCGGGGAGCTGCCCTGGAAGACAGCTCTTCTCTGTTCCTGCACACTTGCGACCTCTCTTCTGTTCCCTGTTACCTCTTTTTCTGCAGTCACTTGGGACAGGAAACCTTTGGGGGTAGTTTTTGTTTTTCTGAGGAGGAAATGTACGTATTCAACTACTCTTCTCGATTTATTAGCTCGTTGTAAACTAAGCAGCCTAACAGCACCAATTTTTCTGTGCAGTTAATTTTTCTGTGCAGCGGCAGAATTCTTGAGTTCATCTCTGCCCACTGACAAGCTTCACACAGCAGCAGATGAAAGTCGGTTTTACTTCTGTTGCAGGGAGAATGGACCAGGCCCTCACCATTTCCCTATACGCCATGGACAGGATCTGTGGCCTGTCTGTGCACGGCCTGGCATGCCCGTCTCGCTTGACTCCTCACCTGGGTTGCCTCGGTGGCTTTTGCTGAAGACAGCGTTCCAGCTCACAGACTAATAGGGATCCCCTTCCTGACCCCAACTGTATCGAGTAGCATTGAGGAATACGTAAAATCACTGTCATTTTTTCAAAAATAATTTTAGGATTCTTTCCTCCATCTAAAAGAGTTCACCAAAAAGCTTTCATATAAAAATTCAGACCCCTTACTGGACAATTTAAAAAATTTGTATCTTTAATAGAACATGGGAACCTTTTTCCCAGTAGAAACTTGATTTATCAGTGCAGTTTCCAGCCCTGCCTCTAAGGCACTGGTGAGCTGCCTGTGCGCCGGCGGCAGGAGGAGGGCGCTGTTGCGCTTTCCACACCGGCTGGCGTGCAGAGTCTGCAGGAGTCCAGTCGAGTTGCAGATCTCTCTGCTCCTCAGGCTGTCTGGTGGGGTGCCTTCCCGAGGAGGAGGGAGGGTTCCTCCACGGGCCCTGGAAGCAGGAGTGTCCAGGGCCGGCTGAGAGGCCCCTGCACAGCACCCAGCAGACACTGACGAGCGTCCTGCCTCGGGAGGTCACTGGCTTCCAGCCACTCTGCCTGGGCGTGTTTTGAGCATTCCCTTCAGAGCCAGCGTCTCTGAGAGTTCTTCAATGGCACTCCAGGTACCCATGATGCAGTGCGTGTCACACATTTCCTTAAAATCAAGATACATGACTTTAGTGAGTGGACCAAGCACTTCATAGCAAGGAGAGCAATATACAATGAAATAACTATGTGAAAAGCTTTGCTTAAAAAAAGAAATTGAGAATAGCCCCAGTTGCCAGATTGCTTTGAATTCAAAAAAGTTTTGCTTTGGGAAAATAGGTCGACAGCACCTAAAATAAGCAATGTGTTCTCTTTTCACACTTACAATCATGCTGTCAGAGAAAACTGTCTTCGGCATGAAATAAAGTTCACAGACAGATCACTGTGATCCAAAATACTTTAAGAAATCATCAAACAGCTCGATAAGCCTTTTTAGCTGTGTATGTCTGTACCGTAACTGATGCTTCTGCCCTGAAATTTTCACAAACTAAGGACGTAACCTTTAACAAATTCTTTACTCTTATTTTTCTGACTTCTTGGGCATTTGTAATAATTTTTTTTAAAAAGTATACTTAAAAAAGTATTACAAAGATTTCCTAAGTGTTTTATAGCAGCCATCAAAATTTGACTCTTTTATTCATAAAAGAAACTTTCTAATAGACTTCAGTGAACTTCGTGTTAATACAGCAGTATGTATATAAAATCACACTGTCTCCTGAATGTAGGTTGCTGAGCTGAAAGTAGAACTGCCCGTTGTTAAATTTAGTGCATAATCCTTTCGTGCAGCATGGACACCCTTGTCGGGGTGTTTGTACGGCTGGTCTCAGTCCGTGTGCTTTCCTCTGGTTTAGTACTAAGAGCAGCCACAAAATTGTAACCTCATGGAAACCATGAGGTTTGGAGTGCCTTAATCTTTAACCAGTTTCCAATGAAATGGTTTAATACACACTTCTGTTTAATAAGTCTGTGCTTCTGTGTTTCATCTGCCGGCATCTACATTTCTGCCCGGAGAGCCCAAGCAGCTGGGGGCAGGCACTTTCTGGGTAAAGGTGCACGTCTGACCCGTTGTCGGAGGCAGGCAGTCTCCAGACTTTATGCCTGTGGCCAACAGAGGACGGCTGCACCCCGAGACTGTCCCCGTCCCCGTGCCCCTGCCCGCAGCCGCCTGCTGTGTGCTCTCCTGTCAGTGCCAGCTCCAGGCGGGTCTCTGGCGGCCGTCCTAGCACGTCGGTACCCGCCCCGTCCTCCCTCCTCCTCTGGCACCAGACACAGAGGGCTGGGGAGGCGCGCGCTTGGCTCCCCCGTGTGAAACGCAGCTCTGTGTCCCGTGTGCTCGTGCACCCGCCCCGACCTCCCAGGCCCTCCTTCCCTGGGGGGCACCCACCCTCGTCTGTGTTGCCCCTTTAATCACTGGGGAGCCCGGGTTCGGTCCAAGCCGCACAGAGGGGCCTGTTGGTGCCTGTGGCCCCGCCCAACACGACATTTATGTGCAGTGGCACCTGCTGGGCCCAGCCCGCCCCAGGCTCTTTGTTCACACTGTGAAGGTCGCAGACCCACGTGTGGGACGGGGAGAGGTGCAGTGGTGACCTGCTCCTGGACAGTCACGGTGGCCGTGGTGCCTGGTCCTTACCGGAGGGTTCCATCTGTGTCATGGACCTTGGGTTTGGGACCATCCGTGAAGCTGGGTGTCTTCTTTCCCCTGAGGCCTCTGTTTTGAAAGGAAGGGATAATGCGTGAGGTGCTTCCTACTGACATCTGCTCTTTTTACAGAAGTCATTTTGTGCAGGGTTAAAAGATGAAACCTAGAGGGGCTGTATACAGCCAGTGTCCCTGTTGACTGGTCTTGGGCGCCCTCTAGGGCTGGTCTGTGTCATTGACCCCACTGGCGACGCCTGGCCCAGGGCTCCTCAAAGGCCCTTCCGGATCCTGACATGGGGCCGATGCTTCCCGAGGGGCCACGTGGGGTGCTTTGTCCCCGTCTCCTTCGAGGGTGTTGTCATTTCCAGCTGAAGTTGTGTTCGTGCTGTTGGGCAGGGGCAGGGTGAGCCCTGGGGTCCGTTTGTAGGCATAGAATTCTGCACCAGAGAGCGTGTGGTGCCTATTTGAAATACTGAATGCGTCCTGTCGAATGACCCTCCAGAGAGAGGACCCCAGCAAGGCGGATGCAGGTCAAGTAGGGGCCGCCCTGCGTGTTCAGCAAGGTTGCGGTGGGCTGGGACCGGCCTGCGCATAAGCGCGCACGGGACCACAGTGGCAGAAGCCAGGCCTGCGCCCGAGGCCAGGACAGCAGGCGGGATGTCCACTCCATCCTGCCACTGACTCTGAGCTGGGGGCTGGCGTGAATTCTGAGAAGACAGCACGGGGCAGTGGGCCTCGCTTGTGCTGCTGCGGGTGGTCCCCGGCTCACCTGGTGTTGCCCCTCGTCGCTGGTCCCCTGCATTCCACTGGGGCAACCGCAGCCGAAAGATCCTCCACACCAGGGAGGGTGGAAGCAGCCGGGCGGCCACGCGGCTTCCACGGCTTGTGTGTTGCCCTCACCGCTAGAACCAGCCGACTCCATGCAGTGGCCCAGACCCCAGAGCCCCGTTCCCTCCCCGTGGTGGAAGGACACATCCGTGTGTCTTGTGGCTCAGTTGCCTGGGCTGGCAGGTGGGGAGGAGATCAGGGGGCAGCCCACCCGGCGCTTCACAGCTCAGCCTGGCGCCTGGCAGGGGAAGGCGAGCTGTGCCGGGGAAGGTCCCTCTGGGGCCGTCTCTCTGCATGTAGAGGATTTTGTTCTGGCGGGATCTCCACTTCCTCAGCAAAGCCACGTTAACGAAGCCCCAACGGAACCTCCTGGTCCAGGCGGACCCCTGCGTGTGCCGAATAAATGCCGACAGCACAGAGAGATGATGGTGGCGCCAGTTCAGCCGTGCCAGAGTCCCTGGCTCCCTGCTCCCCAGCGCTGGGGACTGTTACTCCACATTTGGGCAAATGAGCAGTGGTTTAAACCCCGAGCATGGACAGTTCCTAACTACAGATGCATCATCAAAGACTGCCAGAGTCAACACCTTTATACTTGCTCCCACAGACCCTGTCTCTCTGAGCGGCATGCAGTGGCACTTAGTGGGCAAAATAAAACTAATGTCGAGAGGAGCTGCCGATGGGGCTTTGCAGTGGCTGGCGTGGGCCGAGAGTCTGCTGTGGCCCAGCGCCTGCGGTTCCTCTCTGGCTGCTTGGGTGAGGTTTTCACGCTAGGCCGCGATGCGTTACTTTAAAGCTCTCAGCTGCCTCCCTCCCACCACCTCGGGACTCAGCAGGGCCCGAGGCAGCCCAGGACCAGGGGAATTCGGATGCTTCTCTCAGGAAGAGTCGTCACCCAGGCCCCCGCCAGGCCCTGTGCCCAGCGTTCCTGAGGAGGGAAGGGGACGTGTGTGCTGATGCCTGGGCAGGGGTGACGGCCACCCTCCGCGGGTCCTGCTGCTGTCTACACGTGGGATCCGGCTGCACCCCAACCCCAAAAGCCCCCACCCCAAACCTCCTCGGGCCTGCGGAGCTGCACCTGCTGGACGCCACGTTGCCGCAGGGGGTCTCTGGCCCTGCGGGGCCTGGCGGGACAGCGTTCAGAGGAAGACTGGCTGCAGAAGTCCCTGCATCGACAGGCAGGTAGGACGGGCCTGGAGGCTGTCAGGATTTGGAGAATCCAGATTTGGAGAATCTGTCCCGGCCCTGTGTGGAAGCAACAGACGCACCAGGGCAAAGGACGCGGGAGCAGGGCCGGGTCGGGGGCCGCTGTGGCTGCTGTGGGCGTCTCCTGGCCTGGCGTGGCCACGTCCACATGGGGGGCAGTGGCAGCCACCACGGTGGATGTTCCAGGCACTGTGACCCTGGCATGCTCTCCTGCCTCCTCTTGTCCCCCCTTATTCACACCATCACCTCTTCCAGGCGGGCAGGAGCCAGAGCAGCTGTCAGGGCTGCTGAGACCCTGCTATGCCACCAGCACACCGAGGCGCTGGCCAAGCCCCAGCCCGGGCAGGGCCCTTCCTCCCAGCTGCCACAGGCCCGCAGGCTGTCATCTGCGGGACCACGGCGGGCTTGTGGTCAAGGACGGGCGTTGAGCTACACGCTTGGACACTGTTGCTGGGACGGTGAATTTCATGTGTTTTCCAAGGGATCTGGAAAGTGAGATAAATCCCATTGAATTCTCAGTTTGGGTTTTCAGCTTAATCACACATGGAAAAATGGATCAGAAAATAGCCTGCAATGACCTAGAAAGGGGTCCAGTCGCTTGTCTCGTAACGACGGACTACATACAGGACAGTGGTCCCATGAGACCGTGATGCCGTGTTTTTACTGCACCTGTCCTTTGTTCAGGTACAAACGCGATCGCCCCCAGTGTCCAGGGTGGTCGTGTGCTGCACAGGTGTGTGGCGTAGGTGACAGGCCGCACCGCGCAGCCAGGTGTGCAGCAGGCCCTGCATGTCGGGGGTGATCGTGCTCTGTGATGCTCACGCACAATGAAGTCGCCAGCAGTGGTCCCCGTCGCTGACTGTACCCAGTGACTCCTTGCCTGTGCAGGGGACATGTCCACCTTGGGGCAGGAGGGGACCTGGTGGTGACTCCTCCATATCCCCCTCATCCCTCGACCCCACACTTCACTTTGAAGGATGAAATGGCACAACCCATCGCTGTCACTGCCTGTGGCTGTGTGTCGGGACTCACTGCGTACGTATACCTCTGACCCAGCCGGTCCTGCAGGCGGCTCACAGAGGGTGGGTGACGCTGTCCCGCACACGGCAGTCGGCTCTGCGGGTCTGGGCCTGTCCCCGGGAGCTGCCCTAGCGTCGCCTGCCGGGCCTGAGCTGGTCGGAGCACGTGCTCGAGGTCACCCCCTGGGACTCCAGACCTGGGCCCAGGCTGCTTCCTCGTCTGTTTTCTTACTTGCTGTGGTCCCGACGCTCAGGACGGGTGGGGACATTGCCAGCCAGGGAACGTTGCCCACGGACACCTGCGCCACCCACGGAAACAGGAGAGTCTCGTGCCCGCAGATCCTACGCTTTACCAGTCAGGAGAACGCTGGCTGCGGCTGACGGGTCCTCTCGCTGTGGGCAGCTGGACGCAGGGAGGCAAGCTCAGGCCTGAGTCTCCTGGCCCTTGGGTGGTGATTTTTTTTTTTTAGACAGAGTCTTACTTTGTTGCCCAAGCTAGAGTGCCGTGGCGTCAGCCTAGCTCACAGCAACCTCAGACTCCTGGGCTCAAGCGATCCTCCTGCCTCAGCCTCCCGAGTAGCTGGGACTACAGGCATGTGCCACCATGCCTGGCTATTTTTTCCCATATATATATATATATTTTAGTTGGCCAATTAATTTCTTTCTGTTTTTAGTAGAGACAGGGTCTAGCTCTTGCTCAGGCTGGTCTTGAACTCCTGAGCTCAAAACGATCGGCCTCCCAGAGTGCTAGGATTACAGGCATGAGCCACCATGCCCAGCCAGGTGGTGACTTTTTGGGGTCCCCAGAAAGCAGAGCCAGGGACAAGGCCTTGGAGGCAGTGTCTGTGGGGAGTGAGTCCCATGGCAGGCTTGCAGGGATGGGCACGGAGGCCCGGACAGCGAGCGCTGGGCTGGGAGGAGGGAGAAAGGCTGAGGCAGAAGGCTGGTGACAGCCATGACAGGGCTCCGCGGGGTGGGTGGGCCGTCTGTGACACCTGCCAGAGCAAAACGCCACGCGCTGTGGCTGCAAGTCCAAGGTCAGGGTGCGGCAGGGCTGGGGCTTCCCCCCTCTTGCCTTGCAGGCCTGTCTCCTCCCTGTGTCCTCACAGTCGTCCCCCTGTGTCCTCACCTCCTCCTGGTAAGGACACCAGCGAGCTTGGATTAGCCACCGACCTAGTGACCTATTTTAACTTAATCACCTCTTCAAAGCCCCTGTCTCCAAACACAGTCCCATCTGAGATGTGGGGAGTCAGGGCCTCAGTGAGTGGATTTGG